CTTTTTTGGATGAACCTCTGGCTTCAGGCTGAGCATATTGTAACAATACAGGTACCGAGGGATGTTCGTCTTTTGCCATACTAGATCTAGTGGGTCCATGGCATTCTCAACTGACTGGGGCATAGATAAAGAAAACTTAGACCTGACCCTGGAAATGCCTCTCCAGCTGTGTATTTCTGTATCTCTGAATATCATACCTGTGAATAGCTCGAAAGCCTACATGTTTATGGAAAACATTCAAAAACGCTGTCATGCGATGTGAACCATTGAAAGCTACCTCTTTCTGGGAGCAAATTCTGACCCCTGCCAGGTTAAGATAAGTTCTCCTTCTCTGAATTCATTCTCTGCAGCACTGGGTAAGGGTACTTAAGACAGCTCGGACTAACCATCGATGCTCTTGTCTGAACTGTGGGTTGCTGATGGCAGGGTCCGTTCCAGTCTCTCTTTATATTTCTAGTGCCTGGTATCGTGTGTCAGCAGAACATTTGCTTAATAACTGCAAAACTCATAGATAGAAGACATGAACAGCTGGATGTATAAATCCACCTGCTGCATGCAGAGGTGGTCACATGAAATTCGTGGGGGTGGCGGGGGGGGGCGGTGACTGTTGATACCGCTATCTGGTTTATGCCATACTCTAATTACCAGCAGCAGAAGGTATCCAGAAGGAATTCACTGACATCCCTATTTGCATTCCCGTTATTCCCTATGCCCACTGCAGTTGGAACAATACTACAATAATAAAGGTCAGACACTCAGATGAAGATTATTATTCTAAAGACCATCAAAAGTATACTTTATGACAGACAGAAACAAAATGCCTTAACCATCTTCTTGCCTGAATTTTCACTCCTGCCTCTATAGAATGTAAATCTTTTGATTCTGAGATCGGAATGATTGCATGTTGCTGGAAAGGCTCAGGGCTGCCTTCTGTATTTTTAACAAATGGAGCGCAGGCATGTAGCAGCTGAAAGTTCTATCTTTTCGCACAGTGTGCAAGACAGTGGCAATAAATTTTCAAAAGAGTTGTTTACTGAAGTACTCCAGCTAATAAAAAAGGAGTTAAGCTGTTATTGAGAAATCTTTCTTCCACCAACTTGCTGATGTGTCATTCAGCTTTCAAGGTCATAGAGAGGAAGGGAGACCCAGATCTCCTTCCTGAGCCTGGGTGTGAAGCAAATGGTCTTTCCTGGTCTCTCAAAGAATATCACAAAGCAAGAATTCCTTCACCTGGGCACAGGCTGTCAGTTACACCCCAGGTGTGTGCAGGAAAGTCAGTGATTTCTGTCTGGCTAGCCAACATTCCCAGGCACCGTTGATTTCACTTCTGTTCCTGGATGGTAAATCTTGGAACAGTGTTTTTGCAAGCCAAGTATGCTTTTCTCTGTTTTCTGGGTTTGTTTTTGTATGTCAAACCTAATCAACTCTACTCGATGCACAGAGTATACATAAAGATACTGGTATCTCTGATGTCACCCCTATAGGATGAAAAACCACTGCTTTATAGAGAGATGATAGAAAACGAGTTCCATAAATATGTGAATTTTGATAATAAACACATTGATTCCCTTCTCCCCTTCTAAGGAGGATTCCCCTGCATTCCAAGACAAAGGTCACATTCTGTAGCCTTGATTGAACCCTGAAGCTCAGATCTTTGACTCAACTGTTCTTTCAGTCCTCATGAACCAGCTTTTATTTCAGGCTCTCTTATTTGCCGGTTGTGTCATCCTTATCATTTATTTCCTTATTTCCACCTCACATTTTAATATGGCACAATTTTATGATCCTGCCAATCATGTTGATGGATGTCTCTTTCTTCGTCTTCTTTTTTTTTTTTTTAACTTTTGAACAAGAGGACTGCTATCCAAAATTGGAGAATCCAAGTCGAAACTGGACTGAAGCCCAGTGCTGGGCATTTCAATCCATGCAATAGCTCTTCGTTCTCAGCAAATTCTGTCACTCACATCCTGTATGACCATGTACCGCGCTTGGGAGATTGACTTTTTAAGCTTTCTTATCTATTTTCCTTAACTTTAAATCTAAAAATAAATGGGAGAACAGATGAGAGTAAAATTGCAGTGAGATTGTTCTCATACATAATGTAACTCTCTATTTAGGAACACAAAGACTGTAATTTCATGTTCGTTTTGAGGAATCTAAGCCAGTTTAGGGGAACACAATCTGCTTCTGGGGAAGGAGGTGCAATTTGCCCAGGTGTGAATAAACTTTCCCCATAATAAGTAGAATGGAGGCTTCACAGTCTGCCCTGTGTGGCCAAGCTCTCTAACATACTGTGGCTCCGTTCAAGGGCATCTTCTCTTAGAAGGAGCCAAACACGTGGCTTGGTAGAGATGCTCATATGTAAGTCATCAGCTAGGATGACAATTCCAGTGCTTCCATCTAAGCAGTAGTATGTCCTCTTTTCTTTCTGAGATGTAACAGTGAATGTTATAGACCAGGTCCAGTGGGCTCTCATTGCTTGCCTTCTTATTCCAGTTCCTGTGAGACATGCATTGTGAATGGTTTATGTTGCATATGGTTTAGACTTCTGCCTAAGTCTCTTGTTACTTAGAAGGGATGTGGTTTATGTAACGGTTGCTCTAGAGCAAGGATTCCTCTGCAGAACTTCTGTTCTAAATCTCTTGTTACTTTGAAGGAATGTGGTTTATGTAACAGTTGCTCATATTCCTGTGAGATATTAACAGCATTTCCTTGTTTCATATTATTGTAAAAAAAAATTTGCCACCAAGTACTGGAATAATAAAACATGGTACTAATGATTACCAATAACTTGTTAGATTTGATCTGCCTATTTTCAGATAACTGGAGATGCCTGGCTTAGCTCTAACCCAAAGTGCTGTTTTGTGCTGATTTTCTCTTTCAAAGGAGTAGGGGTTAATAAATGTAAGAACTGACCTTAAAAATGAAGTGTTACAGCCATAGGTGTGAGCAGTTCGAGGAGCCCAAGGTATACTAACATTAGCAAAATACAAATGCATTTAGAAAAGCATACATCTGTTTATTGTTTCCAGGAAAACTTATTAATATTTGTGACACCCAGTCCAAAATTTGGAATGTTTTTGGCTATCATGAGAAGTTAAGGAAGCCAGAAATACATAGAAGAAAAATTAATTTAACTACATATATATATATATATATATAGTCTTCTGAACTATTACTGGCTGGTAAAGATATGGACATGGATGATGACCCCCGTAAAAAGTAAGAAGAGACTTAGGAAGAAGTTCTGCAGAGTAGTCTCTGCTCTAAGCAACTGTTACATAAACCATGTCCCGTCAAAGTAACAAAAGACTGAGGACAGAAGTTCTGCAGAGGAATCTCTGTTCTAGAGCAACTGCTACGTAAACCACATTCCTTCAAAGTAACAAGAGATTTAGGACAGAAGTTCTGCAGAGGAATCCTTGCTCTAGAGCAACCGTTACATAAACCCACATCCCTTTCTAAGTAACAAGAGACTTAGGCCAGAAGTCTAAACCATATGCAACATAAACCATTCACAATGCAGTTCACATTGCATTCCCAAGGCCCTGTCAATTCACCTTGACTGCTGGGCGGGGCTGCCAATGCTAGAAAGCAGATGTAATATTTCATCCAATAACAGATTTGCTGAATTCTGCCACCTGCCAATCACTTTGCAGGTGTCAGGAACACCCCATGATATAAATGACATTCCTGCCCTGGTGGTCTGGTGGGAGAAGAGAGCACATAAAAGACTCTGGTGTCATGGAACACATGCTTTATTAGCATTTGCTAATAAAATGAATCTCCAGCTGGGTGGCAGTGGCTCATACCTGTAAATCCCCAGGCCTTTGGGAGGCCTGAGGCAGGAAGATACCTGAGGTTCAGGAGTTTAAACCAGCCTGGCCCGACATGGTGGAAACCCCATCTCTACTAAAAAAATTACAGAAATTAGCCAGGCATGGTGGTGTACACCTTTAATGCCAGCTACTCCAGAGGCTGAGACAGAATCACTTGAACCCAGGAGGGGAGTTTTGCAGTGAGCCGAGATCATGTCACTGCACTCCTAGCTTGAGCAACACAGCAAGACTCTATCTCAAATAGAAAATAATAATAAAATAATAACTCCCCATACGCTAGAACCATGCCTGGCCTGTAGGAGATGCTTAACAATATTGTTTTTAGGGTTCCCTTTTCTGAGCCCCAACAGGGCAACTAGGAATACTGAAGACAAGAGGAAACGGCCAGCAGAGAATCGTCCTCTCAGTCTCCCCTGAGGCTAGCCACCAGACTAGAATCCCTCTCCCCAAAGCATAAAAATAGTCAATGTATTGTATATTTCAAAATTGCTGAGAGAGTAGATTTTAAATGTTCTCACCTCAAAGAAATAACAACTATATGAGAAAATGAATATTTTGATTAGCTGTATTTAATCATTCCACATGGTAAACATGTATTATTGCATTGTCCCCAAACAGTCTACCACAAGATTATTTGTATATGTCAAATGATACATATATTACCAAAATTTGTATATATATTTGTATAATTGTTTGCATATATCAATTACAATTTTTAAAAGGTAGCTTTCTAGGTGTGGTATGTGCATTTTGTGTATAAATTTTTTTCCCAAAGAAATACTATTTTCAAGGTGCTTGAATTCATATTAATCACCATACTAGAGAAAGAAAGAACAGAATTCAACAACAACAACAAAAAACAAATACAGGCAATTTTCTATTAAATCTCTTCCTGAGTTGCGTCTTTGGGGGAAGTCTCAATAACATAATTCTTCACCTACTGATCCATAGAGGGTAACAATAAGTCACTTCATAGAGACACAACAGAGACTTACCTTTCTCTGACAGAAGATACCATATTAGGCAATTAACTTGTAGTACTTTGTGAATTTTCAAAGTGCCTGCTATGATAATAGGTGGATCCTAATCAGAATGGTGGCAGACATACTTACATTATCCGTGGTCTTTTTTTTCTCCCTTTTTTTTTTTTTTTTTTTGCAGGAACACTGAGACTCCATTCCTGCTTGTCTTGTCCTACCTCCATGTGCACACGGCCCTTTTCTCCAGCAAGGATTTTGCCGGCAAAAGTAAACACGGAGTCTACGGGGATGCTGTTGAGGAAATGGACTGGAGTGTGGGTACGTTTCTCCTCAGTGAATTCTTAGAAAACCAGTAAGTCTTTGCCTCCTTGTGTTTTCTTTCCTGTGTATTTCCATCTATGTTGCTGATGCCTTTAGAGACAGCAAATGTATGGGGTTTTTTGAAGGTAACCAAAAATGCATTGGTCCTGAAAGGTAAATAGAATACAAAAAGTACCTTCACCAGTCCAGGCAACATAGGGAGACCCCATCTCTACAAAAAATTAAAAAACAAAAAATCAGCTGGGTGTGGTGGTACATGCCTGTGGTCCCAGCTAGTTGGGAGGCTGAGGTGGGAGGAGGTCTTGAGCCCAGGAGATTGAGGCTGCACTGAGCTATGATTGTACCACTGCGCTCCAGCCTGGGTGACAGAGTGAGACCTTGTCTCTTAAAATACATATATATCTTTACCGTCTTGTGCATGTCTGCAGTTGCCAGTGCATACATTTCAGGGGAGGTCTAGTCCGTGGGCTGCAGATGGAAGAGATTCATGGAGGAAAGGAGACAAAACTTTAGTCCTTATTATCCCTTATTCTATCAACAATGAAATATGAACAATGCCTTGTCATTAGCAGTTAGATGCGTGATGGATTTTGGATCCAGAATACCTGCAGCTGGCTACACACTTCGCGAGGCTCTCAGGGCAACAGCGACGAGGTCCTTGTGTTCTTCTTGCTGCATCTAAGGATGGCAAAGCTTTCCTTGTTCTCCAAACTCCTTCTCTCCCTTCCTGAGCAAATAACCCTATTTCTAAGAAACGTGGCATTTTTCACTGACATTGGGAAGACTTCCTTACTGAAGCTTTGTTTAAGTTAAAATGCATGTCTTCCGTATCTACAGGACATCATCATCCCTCTTGCAGAGCTCAGAACAAAACAGAACAAAATTTGTTCTGACAATCACCATAGTAGGTGACCACCACCACCATCAATTTGCTGCTTTAAACAAACAAATATAACTGGGAAGCAGAGCTCAGAGGTCCCAGGATGGGGGATTACACCTGGGGTCTCTTAGCTGTACACAGCTAAGGAGTTGGCTAGCATGCAACCTCGTGCGGAATGAGGTAGGGAAGGCCTTAGTGTGTGAGTTACGCAAAGGAATGAAAAATCAGCATTCCAGTCCACTTGGAACTTCTCACAATTTCAGGTCTTTTCTAGCAGCATTGCCTCTTACTTTTACATTGCTGGGCCCATCTGGATAGTATCAGAGTGACAGAAGAGACCATTTTGTCCGTATTCCAGTACTCACTCAGGTTGCTAAAGATTTTCGTATGTTTGTTTCCTTTTACTTTTTCTCCCTTTCATTCTTCTCTCCATTTCTTTTGGTGAACTAACTCAGTAGTTTCTAACCTTTGGATCCAGATGTTTTGGAAATGCATGAAAGTTGCTTCCCAGTTATATTTGTTTGTTTGTTTGTTTAAAGCAGCAAATTGATGGCAGTGGTGGTCACCTACTGTGGTGATTGTCAGAACACATTTTGTTTTGTTTTGTTTTAAATCGTGGAAGGAGCACCTTCTTAAGAAACAAGACTGGACTCTTCTTCCAGCTTCTAGATGTTTCTGTAATTATCTCTGTGAACTTGGGAGAAGTTTTACATCTTCAGGCCTCTCCTCTATCATCTTGATAGGAGGATTCAAATTAGGCAAGTTCTGAGGTTCTTTTTTCTGTGATAGTCTGTGATTCTATAAAGTAATGAGAGTGAGTACCATTTATAATAATAACTAGGAAGAACAAAACCAGAACATTCTCTCTAACAAGATTTATAAGAAGAGTACATTACGCTTATGGCTTGTACATATACCAATACAAGCCTGCATCCTTTTATTTTTTCCTTTCTAAAATGTTGCACATAAATCAATATATATTTTTCACATCTTAGTAGTGTAAATCAGTAGAATATTTTCTCTCTTTAATGAGTGTTCTATTTTAATGTGTCAGGCTGCTTATGCAACTCTAAGACTTCTGTTGGCTATCAAGCAACCTCACACTGATCTCATCACACCTGTTGATTACATTTTATTTAATTAGCACGGCATACATGCCTGACTCATTAGAAAGTTTAACTTCCAGTGTTGTATCACTACTAGTTCTCTCTAAAGTATTTGGAGAGTATTTTCAATCTTCGAGACCTGCCTTAGCCCCTGATTTATAGAAGATTGTGTTTGTTTTGTTTTGTTTTGTTTGTTTGTTTGTTTTTGGCCAAAAGATAAAATCCCTCCCCCAAGCATTCCATGAATTTTTAAGAAACCGTTTGTTTTTTTAAATCTGATACATATGAGTGTTCTAAAGAATATTTCTTCTTTCCAAGAAGGGCTTTTCCTTATTGCACAGGAGGGGACTGTTGCATTCTGAATAATTATGTAATAAAATAAAAGGGGGAGATTTGCTTAAGAAGAAACACTCCCTGCACAAAGGAAAACTGAGATGGAAGTGGTTAACTAGTGAGGGTGCATCTCAGTCACTCCGAGCATGTTCTCTCCACATGTTTGAGGGCTGTGTAATTCTATGGATCATCACTTTCTCCCCCGCAGGTTTCTTTAAGCCTGGAAAGGCATATTCAATGACCAAGAGCCTTTATTATGTAACTGTACACCAATTCTACTGCCCATGATTGTGGCTTACTGCCTTATCCTTAGCTGAGTGAGTGCTGTGTCTCATATTGTTACAGTAACTAGAGAAAGACTGACTTCGTACAGATGTTGTGAGAGCTACAGAAGGGGCTTCTCAGTACAACCATGCAAGGGCAGTTGAAATCCAGGAGATATGATTCTTCTGTGCGAATTCATGGGGTGGTCAACATGATTTTAATCATCAGAGTGACTAACATTGAGAGCTGGCCCCATACTGGGCCCTGATAGCACATGTATTTGTGGGAGCCGTAGGCTTTTGGTCCCATAAAGGTTGTCAGGAAATCACTGGCGTGAGGCAGATTGATTCATAGGGGAAAAGGCATACTAATTTATTGAATGTGCGTACACAAGAGCCTTCATAATGAAGACCCAGCCTCCCAATGGGGTCCAGAAGCTTATACACCATCCTGAGGTTACAGAAAGGATGGGGGCTTGGGCCAGGCATGGGGGCTCACGTCTGTAATCCCAGCACTTTGGGATGCTGAAGCAGGCAGATCACCTGAGGTCAGGAGTTCGAGACCAGCCTGTCCAACATGGTAAAACCCCGTCTCTACTAAAAATACAAAAATTAGCCGGGCATGGTGGTGCGTGCCTGTAATCCCACCTACTTTGGGAGGCTGAGGCAGGAGAATCACTTGAACCCAGGAGGTGGAGGTTGCAGTGAGCTGAGATCATACCACTGTATTCCAGGGAAAAAAAAAAATATATATATATATATATATATACACACACACACACACACATATATATGATGGGGGCTTGGATCCTGGTAACACAGGTTATGCGGATCAGGGAGAAGAGTTCTGTTGAGGGGCAATAAATGATTGCTAGGGAGAATTATTGATACAGGAACAGAAATTAACTTGTAATTTAAATGATCCTTGGAGATCGTACTTGGAAAAGGGTCTCCTCGGGGGTAGTCATATCTTGGTCTTCTTTTCTGCAATAGACAATGAAATTACAGGGAGAGGAAGGGAAAAAAAAGTTCTCCTTTGGGGGGGTCTGGATCTTAGGCAGATAAAAGAACTCCACCTTCTATGGGAGAAACTGTGTGTGGGATGAAGGGGAGGTTAGAGAAACTTGAGGCTTCGTCGGTTTAGCATGTCAAAAGGCAATCTTTGGGGATATCAGTTTCTGAGTCTCAACATCTTGCCTCATTTTGTGCTGCCAGTGGTCCCTGTGCAGCAGGTGATGTTCTCATCATTCCCATTCCACAGGTAAGGTTAGTGAGGCTTGCAGGTCAGGTACACCCACCTCAGATTACAGAATTCATAATGGATGAGCATGTGTTCAAATGCAGGTGTCCCACCTAGAACCTGAAATCTACACCACTTTATTTCTTTTCTTTCCATGTAATAAGAAAGCGTGCATCATGTCAGTGCACAATCAACAACATATCTCCAGGAAAGATCTAGTTCATTCATTAGTCATGTTGACTGGATGCTAACTGTGTGCTTAAATGTTTTTTGGCAGTGCAGGGTGGGAGTAGGGTGCAATGATGATAAGACTATAGGTTTAGGGGAGAATGTTCAGCATACAAGATACTAAGAAATTTAAGATTCTTTCAGGAGATCCTATAACAATTCAGGGCAGAAAGTGAGGAATGTCCTGAGGGAGGTGCAGATAAAGTGCTTGAACAGTTTGGAAGCAGGAAGAGCAGGGGTGCTGTGCATGTTGGATGTAGCAGCCATATCATTTCAGCAGGACGCACCCACAGTGGAATTCTTTAGGCAATCATGGTGCTATTGCAAAGTCTGATTTTCAATTCCAGTTAATTCTGAAGCAGCCCAAGCATCAGGGAGGAACAAATGTGTAAAATTTCATTGTTCTCCAGTATGCAACAAGCATTTTGGAGGCGTGTCCTTCTGGCTGTTTCTCTTCCTTTGGAAATAGACTGACATTTTTCATAAACCTGTTCATGGTTGGGGGTCACATGGAAGGACGGATGTAGTTCTGACCAGGGGTTTCTTATCTACAGCTTACACCATTATATCTATCACAGCTAGTCTGTGAAGTGGAATTTGCATGCAATCAGTGTTCACTCAGAGCCCTGTGCTATTAATAGAACCACATGAAGGAATCATAAATCAGCCTTTGCTCAGGATTAGACTAGCAAGTTCTATACTATTACAAAGAAACATTCAAGCAGAGAACAAGAAGGTGAATGCTAAAACAAATATCTGGCTTCCAGTCAAACATTCCTAGCCAGGTGTGGTGGCCTATGCCTGTAATCCCAGGTGGATCGCCTAAGGTTATCAGTTCAAGACCAGCCTGGCCAACATGGCGAAACCGTGTCTCTAATCAAAGTACAAAACTTAGCCAGACATGGTGTCACATGCTTGTAATCCCAGCTACTTGGGAGGCTGAGATG